AAAAATTCATCTGCCTACATTATCGGATGCTAGAAGCACACGTTCATCGCCGGTAGTCAGTATTGATGGAGTAATGGTTACTGATGAGAATATATGAGGAAAGAAGGAGGAAATTCGCACCAATGGTGGTCCATTATGAATGTTGGGCACGCTGGTGCTGCTCAGTCAGCTTGGTTTAGGAAACGGTCAAGGGTGAAGGGGTTTTTTGCCGCCACAGTGCCTTAGATTTTCCGTCGAAAAAGGCCAAGAGATCGAAAGCCTTAGAATGTCCATATACTTCCACCGATTTCCGAGGAGTGAAATACAAATGCTTTGTAATCCTCAAACCGTGGTTCTTAAGTATCGCGCTGTTGGTGTTATGGCTAGCAGGCCATTATAATGCGGACGAACCGGTTGCGTGGTTCGCATGAAGGTCATTGGCTACGTGCCAAGATAAGAAACTGCCATTTCGTCAGCAATAGCGAGCACGACTGAGGGGGTAAGGAGAGGGACAATGGCTAGCGCCGTGACTGTCGAGGACATCTAACGCCGGCAGCCCCTCATACATATGTCGGACTTTGAGACGATTTCTGTTCGCATAGGGATTTTTCTGGTATTCATGCGGCGAGAATGTATGACCGTATAGACAGTTATATATCAATCTAATACGTACATCTGTTCATACGAGTTTCTGAGAACCACTTAAGCATCCAGCCACCCATGAGAGAGCAAGTAATGGGATCGAACTGCGTAATAGTACGTACTACACGCAACAGTCCCCAGAGAAACATTCCTCGAAGGGTTTTGAGAGCACCTCGAAGAGGTGAAGCTATCGCCGTAGTGTCTCCCTTTCTGTATACTGCATCCTCTCGCGCATCTACTAGGCCGCGTTCTGGTTTGCTATTAGGCAATCGCCCTTCCTTTTCCTGGGTGGCACACATCTTTGTCATGGATCATTGACAATCCCTTTGAATATGCAGACGACCAGTCAGCAGCTACTCGAGAGTTCTCCAGAGTGCCGCGTGAAATCGGGCCAAAGGACTTTTCGATGGACACTGATTAAAAGATCTGAAATCTGTTTTCCTTATTACTTCCCGTGATTAGCTTTGGGAGTAATCTTATGCAACAGTTTATGTGTATGCTAAACTTTCGTTGAGCAGCGGGGAGCTTAATTGACTGAATCTTTTACAATTTTTCCCTTTCAAGTTTTCTTTGTGCAGTTTTTCAATTTTTGAAATGGTGAATCATACTCTGTTATTTCATTTCACCTGTACCACTGTATTCAGGATTAGTAGATTGCCATATTCTACCGATTATTGATTAGTTTTGTTTCAGCGCAAGCCCTCGACAAGAACACATGGGTGTACGACGTTACTGGCCTGCTTCAGCATTGTGTTGCTGTTCTTCGTCTTTGTCATCAGCTGACAGATCAGTTGGCTGCTGTACCATTACAGCATGCTTCACCCCAACTGAACCATATGCTGTGTCAGGCAACTCTACGTGTGATGCCGCGATTTGATGATTTATTGAGCGCTGTCGCTAGCCCTGCTGTGAGTTCCCGCAGTGGTGAGCAGTTTCGAAAGTCAGACGAAAGTTCGCTTTACAGGTCGATATTCGTGTCCTCGAGGCCCGTGCGACGGCGCTCGCTACCGTATGCTGGGCATTGTATCTGCCGTTCTCGCTCATTAGTCAAAAGTACAGAGAGGTTGGGACGAAGTGTTCTTTGGTCCACCCGGCACTCGCACTTATTTTTTCTTCAACGAGGAACACTGTGGCTTCAACATATAGTTGCTGCTTCTTTCTAGGCGATGGGAGAGCCGTTACAACAGATGGATCTCCATCTAGATGCTTTACGCCATGCCGCAGAAATAGCTGAACGTGCCAACCTTGGGAAGGTAGGTGGTTTTTGCGAAACAGTCAAACGAATTGTCCTTGTTTTTCTGCGTGGTCTGGATACAAGTGACGGTAGTGGTCGAAATAACTCTCCATCACTTGTCCATAACAAGTATTAGTATTACAGCTGGATCTAATCTTGAATGTTCGATGTTCAAATAAAGCCTTCAATAATCGCTGCAGTCAATGAGATGTGTTTTAGTTAGAACTTGACTGGTCACATCTCGATGCAGTCGCGGAAAATGTTGCTGCTGCGCAAGAAGCGGCCAGAGTTGTTACCGAAACAACGCCGCTT